AGAAACCAGTTTTTTTAAAACATATTTTTATATTGTTTAAGTATTTGCTAAATGATGAGAAAATTGTAAGCATATATGAAATGAAATATTTCTGATGCTGTCTAAAATGAAGATTTAACTCTTACAAAACAAGTGAAGCAAATAGTTGATTCATCTATCTATGATAAAATTTTACATTTTGAATAAATTAACAATTGATAAGATATTAACTTTGATTTATTTTTATTTTAATCGATTGATTATAATTTGACTATCGATAAAAGAACAATGATTTTAGTCGTTTCAATTAGATCTATTCGAACTTTTACATGAGAGTATATCCGTAGGTTTTACCGTTAGCAATTGTAGTTATTTATTTAAAAGAATTGACTTGTTTATCGAGTATGATGATAATTATCGCCGAATAATTTTCACTTGAAATCGTTCATTTGTTAGAGAAAATAGTTTTTTTAAAGTGAGTTTAAATCTATGTTTTTTCCAGGGATGGCGCGACCAGGGGGTTGGGGGAGGGGCCCCTCCTGCTTTTGAAAATTTTGACTGTAATTTACTCCGAATTCGGGAGAATTTAGCTGAAAATTTCTCCTAATTTGAGAGAATTGAACTGTAATTTTCTCCCATTTTGGAAATATTTTACTAGAATTTTATCGAAATTAGGAAGAATTTAACTGAAATTTTTCATAAAATTGAGAGAAATTTACTGTAATTTTCTTCGAATTTGGAGAAAACTTGTTTCGCACTCTGTCTGCTCTTGATCAAAACTCGTAGTGATGTACCTTTGATTATGAGGAAATTTAGAGTGTATCTTTCTCCGTTTTGTAGAGATTTAGGCTACACCTTTCTCTCACTTTGAGTAAGCATTCAGAACACTTTGTTCGCCAAGTTGAGAATGCTTGTACACTTTCTTTAATTTTGAAAGATTTTGTTTATTTCTTTCTCCAACTTTGTGAAGATTTGATCAAATGTGACTACATTGCTTGATTGATACAATAGCAATAGAAATTACCAAAGCTTGATTACTTTTTTAAACAAATCGACGAATCTTTAGAATGACGTATGATGCAGAAGTAATGGCACAAAATGCTGACTCCTATTTCTCTTCGATAAACGGGCGCTGAAAGAAAACATTTTTTTACCGAAAGATAGACCTTTTTCTTCTCTTTTGAACTGTATATGACTTCTTTTTATTCAACACTCATGCATAGAATAGCACGAGAAGAAATAGAGATATCTTAAAAATAATTCTGCGCTTTTCGTATGTTTCACAATAACTGCACAAAATGTCGATTCTTATATCATTTCGATAAATAGGTTGTGAAAAGAGTACCACTCTATTAGTTAATAGGAAAGGTTTTCCTATTTCAGACAGTGTATGATTCATATTTGTTCCGCATTCTTAAATGATATAAGGCGAGGAAAAAAGATAAATACTCGTGCTATAAGCTTGTAATCTTTATATGAACTCATCAAAAACATCTTACTAGACAATAATCAATTCTATATTTGTGAACTCTTTAAAAAGATCATGTAAAACAGTGGTTACTTCGACTTTTATAAAATCATTAAAAAAGATTTTGTGAAACGATAGTTCACTGTAATTAACTGTCGTCTTCGAGATGTTTCTGATGAATTCATATAAAAATTACAAATTTATGGCGTCAGTGTTTCTCTTTTTTCTCGTGTTATTTCATTGACGAATTTGTGATAAATATAAATCATAGAGTGTTTGAAAGAAGAAAAAGTTTCTTATCAACTAATAAAAATATATTCTTTTTAGAAACAATTTATCGAAGATATATACGGATCAACATTTTGTGCAGTTTTTCTGAAATATACGACAAATGCCGAATTATTTTTGAGATGTCTTTATGTCTTCTTGTGCGGTTCTATATATGAGTGTATGATAAAAATCAGTTATATGCAGTTCGAAAGAGGAAAAAAATTATCTTTTCGTAAAAAAATGTTTTCTGCCATTACTTTTGCATTTTACGTTATCTTGAGTTTGTCTGGGAAGAGAGTTCATCATTATTTATTTAAATTTCTCAAGCGACTGCTCAAATAATATGACTTTCGTCGGTAAGCAATGAACTGAAAAAGATTTGGAAAAAGATTATCACAGGAAAAAATGACTTCATGACCTATGTGATCCCTAAAACATCCAATCTAACTAAGATCTCTGCCACTATCAATGGTCAAATTAGGTTGTCTTTGTCTCGAAAAAACAGCAGGAGCTTGTGAGTTTCAAAAACATTATGATCATAATCGCATAAGTTAACGATGGTCATGAACGTGGCCGCCTTCGGTGGCAAAACAAATTCAAAAACTTTTATGAACTGAATACGAAAACATTCGGATAGAAAAGCTTCAGGGCAAGATATCATTCTTAAACAGCCATACAAGCGTTTGCTACTCACAAAATAGTTCAGAGTTCTGGATAAGTTTATGAACTTGTCTCAAATTTTGACTTTTAGTTAAATTTCGATCGAAATCGACAATATCTTTGTGAAGTTCTAACTACGGAACAAAAATTTACATACATCTACCCAATTTCGTCTGCCTCGGAAAGCTCTTGCATTTGTCGAAAATTTTCTCCCATTTTCGCAAATACCCACCTCCTGCTCTGACCTCGTCGCGCCGTCCCTGGTTTTTTCATAAATCAACTCATAAAAAGTGCATTTCGAAATGAACAATTCTTCTTCTATGTTTTATTTCGCATAGTTTTAACTAGAAGCAAACATAACATCTTTGCTTCATCAAAATGTGCAAATTTTTATGAATTTTTTAATTCGAAGATTTTCATTTTAATCATTAAGATTGAATTCATTGACTTATATTCCTATGATATTAATGTGAGACAAATCCACAGGTCTAAACAGATACAGATCTTAAAAAAACGAACCTCTTTCAACCTCTGATACACCCTCGCCAAATATTTGCTTCCTAACCAATCGAACAAGAAAATAAATCGAATATTCAACAAAAAAAAAAAACAAACAAGGAATATTTATTTCGATAGATTGATAAAAATAATCGAGTTCGATTGAGAATAAGATCAGTTTGAAAAATATATGATATTATAAAGATCAAACGATTAATGAATAATTATATTCAGGTGAGAAAATAGAAAACTTTTAATATCGATATAGATTTATTTTTATCGATAAAATAACAACACATTTATTATAAAATCGACAATTCTATAAAAATAATTTATCAATATTAACATCAAACAAATCTTCATTACGAAAGAATCAATTTAAAAAAATAGAATTTTTTCTTTTTTAAGATGAAAAAACGAATATTTCTAATCTTTTCTTTTATAGAATATATCTTTTTTATTTTATATTATTATTATTATTATTATTATTATTAAGGGTGTTGGTGGGTGTCGGTTAGTGGAGGGCGTGGGTGTGGGTGTGGGTGTGTGGTGGGTGTGGGTGGAGTGTGGGTGTGGATGTGGCTGTGAGTGTGGGTCTTTTGAACATCCACACCAATACCTACACCCACACACCCACATCCACACCAATACCTACACCCACACACCCACACCCACACCTACATCCACACCGCACCCACACCCACACCCACACCTACATCCACACCGCACCCACACCCACACCTACATCCACACCGCACCCACACCCACACCCACACCCACACCCACACCCGCACCCACACCCAAATCGACACCCACACCCACACACTCACATCCACACCTACATCCACACCGCACCCACACCCACACCTACATCCACACCGCACCCACACCCTTACCGTATATCGATTTTTTTGATAAGATGCGTATATTTCTAAAATATTAGTAGTCATTATTGATATGAATGGGCTAAAAGGATTGATGAATGCTAAACAAACATCATCGCGAGTAAAAAGCATTAGTTAAAGCATTCTATCAAACACCTTGTTATTTGATTGATTGGTAGTTTTAAAATGATAATAGACGACACATTATAGTTTGGCAGTTAATCTAGAGTGTGGATGTGTGGATCGTTTGTATACCTTACTCACATTCCACACCTATACTCTAGTTCGGGCTTGTGTAGATTAAAAGAGCAGACTCTGCGCTATCGAATGATCACCTTGAAATTGAAAATCTGTTTGTAAACGTTTTTGTCCGGTAGGGCATAAAATCTTCAATGGTAATCAACAACCTTGGTCACTCACTAACCTATTGAATATAATATACATTTGCTCCAGAAAGGGCACTCTTTCTAATGCTGACAAGATGACATCGCTAGCTGGATCCGTTCGCGAGATATTATTCTAACAGTTTTCTCCATCCATTTCTGGCGGCGACATTAGTTCTATGCACATGAATATAGTTTATTCAAAGAATTCATACACAAGAATCATGGAAAGGAGAAGGCAACATGAAAAAGTTAAATTCATTTAAATTGCCAAATAAGTGTTCTCTATTGAGTAAACAAACCAATAATATAGTATTTACACATTATAACCATAAAGTCAACGTGTCATTCACTTCATCAAAAGTAGCTTTGTAGGTTCCAATAGTGAGACTCGTGTAGTATAATAACAATTCGTCGAGATATTCAATAAATGCAGTACGTACATCATTTGTCTCGCCATGTTTTAAAATTAGAAAATAAGTTTTAAATCCAATAAGATTTCGGCAATACTTAAGTGTGTCACATAAAATCTTATAATAATCATCATATTTCACCCGCCCAAGGCGTAGAAAGCGTAGATCAGGCAATATAATAGCTAAGCGTTCAATAATATCGACATCCTTAATTTCCTTAGTAGAAAGCTGAAATTCCTGAATACTTTTCCAAGTATGTTGTTGGAGAAAACATTGGAAAACTATATTATTTGTTATGGCAAGCGATCGAAGACATTGAGTAGCGCTTTTTAGTTGGGAAAACAATGCATCTATATTCGTAAGACTAATTTTGCTGAGGGTTAAATGTGTAAGATACTTAAGATTGGTAATTTCATTTGATGTTGTTGGAAGTGTGTCTGATGTATCAAATAATGTTAGACAATTCAAATTAGGAAAAGCTTGAAGACCCCCAAAACCTTGACACTTTAGATTTTCGACAGCAATATATCGATCTGTTGCAGATGAATGATCAGGACGCGTGCAGAAAATTTGTGTAATCGATGATAATGGTAAACTAATACTCGTGTGTGTTTCGAGAGGATCCGAATGAACATATATTTTTGTATGCTCAAGAAGCAATTTTGTTGCAGGAAAATCGGTACGTAAGATTGTCATAAACCACTTTTTTTCTCTTATCCACCAATCACTAGCAAACGAGTTGTAGACATCCCTTAAATCATAATCGCTTTCTGTACCATGCATGAGAAGTTGTTTACAGAACAAGTTGAACTTCGTCAATCGAGGAAGTTGAGAAAGTACTTCACGCCAGCTTTCTCCATCAGGCAATTCACACTCGAATACTCCATTTAGTGAAAAACATTCAAGTGAGTTGGGAGCGAGATGTAGTAAGATTTCGGTTAAACGAGAAAAGTTTATGTCATAACTATCAATGCGTAAGTGTAGCGTTACAAGATGTTGAAGAGGCAAGAATGTCAACGTAGTGAAATGATCTTCTTCAAAATCGTAGTCTTCACCTACGCTGACTGATAGATGGCGTAGACTTGGTGACCATGGTAGTATCCGAAAGAATAAGCTAAAGAAGGTAGTGTCTGTTACAAAAAGTTGCTGTACTCGATTGCAGTGAGCCTCAAAATATCCAGATGGTATGTCAAAAACTATTCCTGGCAAATGAACTTGTTCTATTGGGATAATGCTGTATAGAGTGTTCTTTAATAAATGAACTTTTCTATCATTTTCTTTTGCAAAATTGTTTCTCTTAGACGAACTCGTAAGTTGATCAATTTTTAGTGTTTTTAATTCTGGCATATGAATGACGTTCTGGATGCTCATTGACAGTTGCTGTTCATCGCAATATCGAATATGGAGAGAACGAAGATGCGGATAAATGGGTAAGAACAAATGTTTCAATAACATCCCACCGGTGAATTCATCATCTAGGGTCAGTGAAATAACCGACTCACAAATTAGATCAATTAGCTTATTATTCAAATGTCGAGCATCGACATAATGCATATCAGATGGGCATAAATCTTGTTTATATTTTTCTAAAGTACGTTCGAATCGTGTGTTCAGTTGTAGAAATGCGAATAAAACGTGGTACGGCTCTAAATAAAGACATACCATGTGTAGAAGCTCATTTGGTAAAGTTTCTAATGTGGATGGCATGGTTTGTTTTTCGTTTGTTTGCTTTACAAATCAGCACACCGCTGGGTGTCGTCGTGAAAACGAAATGATTTTTTTTTATTTCAGTGAATATGAAAAGGTATTACTTTTACTTGCATAAGAGAAAGAAGAAGAAAAAAATTCAGTTACCCTTCGCTCATGCTATTTTTAAATATATGTGACATGATCATTTTGAAAAAAAAGATTTCACTATAAACAGTTAACAATTTCTCCTTGTTTCATTGTTTCATCAATTATGCTATTTGGTGCAGGTAATAAGCGAAGCCTTAGACTTCTGTCTTAAAGATTTACTTTTACAGAAGGGTGTGGGTGTGGGTTTGAGTGTCGGTGTTCGTCTTGGTGTGGGTGTAAGTTTGGGTGTGGCTGTGGATGTGGTGCGGGTGTTGATGTGGGCGCTGGTGCGTGCACGAATCCTCTTTACATTGACACACGCACTCACACTCACACCAGTATTCACACCCACACCCATACAAACACCCACACAAATACCCTCACCCCACACCCCACGTTCACACCCTCACCCGACACCCACACCTACACCCACCCACACCCACACCCCACCCACACCCGCACCCTCACCCACACCCACACCCACGCATACCCATATCCTCATTTTTCTTTCGATTTCTTGCTCTTAAGTATTGTTCTTCATAAAAACAATATGAATATTAAAGAAAATAACAGAATCGTGCAAGAAAGTAGATGGATTAAACCAAATTTATACTTAATATATAGTTAATATGTGATGGAAAATCACTAATTACACGGTCAACCTCGCTATTCCTCCTACGTTTCCATACATGTTTTTGACGCTTTGCTTTTCTTTGGAATTCATTAGACTACGGGTAAATCTATAAAGATGGAGAAGAAAATAGACTATGAGAATGTTACGATCAGTACATGAATATTTTTTTTTTGAAAAGAGAGTAGAATGAGAGAAGAGAATACTGTACTATAGTCGGACCTGATGTGTCAATTAGCGATGTATATAAAGATCTGTATTATATCATTACAGAAAACGCTATAATAGGGCGCACAACATATTTAAGTGATCGACTAGTATAGAAATATCTCCGTAGAGAGAACTAAATATATTTGTTCAATTGATGAAAACTTTTGTAAAAAAAGTCAAATAAATCAATAAGTTTATATTAATATTCTTAAGTATTCGTTATTATCAACGGTATCATGTAAAATTCGAGAGCATTTTTTACACTGTCATTTAAAAAACAAGCTTTATATAATTTTCTATAGACTGTTAGATTAATGTGAGGTAAATTATGCATCCTGTCTTTTTTTACAAAGACTTCATCACATAAAATAAAATCTGTCTACGTCGATCTATACGATTACTTTAGCCGAGCAAACGAAAATAACAATATGAATAATAAGGACTACACTTGATTTCAACAGAACGTGATATCTTTTAGTTGTTTACATCATAATGTGATTTACATTGGAAAATATAATTTTTTACCTAAATTCTAATCATTCAACGTCGTTTTACAAGAGAGATCTACTTTGATTTTGTTGATATCCAATTTTAATTAAAGTCCAGTTTTTTCCTTTGATATACAGGAAATTAGACGTCTTAAATCATTTTGCGCTGTTATTTCGATAGGTCTTTTGAGACAGAAGAAACAAGTTTAGGTTAGTCACCTAAGATATACAGCTTATCTCAAAAACAAATGAGATCTATCTTTTGAAAAAAAGATGATGACGCTGTCAATTACAGACATTCAATATTTATTAAAAAACTTATAAATTTAGCACTATTATAAAGAAAAAGACCCTTTTCGATTCGAGGATTGTAAACCGACGATCAATATCATACAAACAAAATAGCTTTTCGGCTGCTATTAAGTATAATTTCATCAGAGTCGCATACTTTAATAGACGTTTAAGCGGTTAAGTTTACAAGAATGTTTTTGACTGTTTCGAGAAAAAAACGTTTGATAAGTAAACATTAATAATCCATATAAATTTTTGAAGTTATAAGCATTTTAAAAATCAATTTGAAACTCCGAAAAAACAGAGTCCGAAATTGTGAAATGGTCAAAATTATTCATTAATGAATTATTATTCGTTTTAATGGTCATTTTACCATTATTGATTTGAAAAGGCGCATTTTAATGGTCGGAAATGGTCTAGGCACAAGTAATAAGGCATTTTAATGATCATTTCTTTATTATTCACTTGACTGGGCACCCACCCACACCCAAATCCTGAAATTCCTTTTGTCGGAACATTAACACCGTAGTTTGGAAAGCAACCTATGAAGATTGGACAAGAAGTTCATCTAAACTCACATACCCAAGTGATTCCCGAAACCTCCAATGACAACTGATGATTATTTCCCTCTAAATGCTTCAGTTCCTAAGAATTTCCAGTCAATGATTTTATATCACATTAAATGCCGTGATTGCAACGCAATCTATATAGGAAAAACAGTATGTCAGGCATCCAAACGACAGAAACAACACGATGCTCTTCTTGTTACAACTGCATCTTTGACACCAACTCCTTCAGCACAAATTCAAACTACTACAACATCTGACGCAGTACGAAGATCAACTTGAAATATAGGAAAAGTAGTTAATTATCGATCTAATACAACAGCGATCGTTGAAGAATTGATTAATAAAAATTCAGCAATACATCAGCATGCAATTGAATGCCAATCATGATATTAACTGGAATGATTCGAAAATAATAACAAAAGATCTTAATTGGTACTAATAATGTGTGCGTGAATCACTACATACTGTGGCAAAACAACGTGAACTCAATAAGACTGTTTCATCCGTGCCTCTTATAATTCATCCTGAAGAACTCGGAAGACAAAACCTAAAGTGAAGATAGAAACATTAGACATATAATGATTCATCATATGGTTCGTATATATATATATATATATATATGAAATGTGTAATAAGCTCAGTTATCGTCATCTTCTTGATAAAATCGAGTGAATCGACCAAGCGTCGGCTTTTGCATCAAATAAATAAGTATACATATCACGAGGATAACAGCTACCGCTATTAGTATAATCTTTATGTTTTGACGAATTCGTGAAGTGTATGACATAGACTCATTCATCTTTGTTGTTTGGCTAGAAGTAGTTTGATTAACGGTTTGGTCTTTTGTGCATGTAATCAGCTTCAAATCTTGATATTTGGGTAAGCTGGGCATAAAGCTGTACTGAAGATTTGGTGATGCACCGTAGAGGAGTACACGAGATGCCATATTGTAGAATTCTTGCCATTGAACAGCTCGCTCTGGTGTCCATGTCAGATTATGAAGCCATTCCATTAATATGGAATCATTGAAAGATGATCTAAATACACATCAATAAGACTAAGAATAAATTTTTGATGTAAATAAACGGACGAAGCAGTGTTCATCATTGAGTTCCATATTTGTGGACTATTCATCATCAAACAATTATACATATTATTCACTCGAGGATAGTATTTCATTACATGACGACACATTTCATCTTCGGCTCTTTCACCACCCTGAAAAAATCAATCGAATTCCTAGTTGTGTTTTGCTGTGTAATAAAAAGCAGTTTCTTATTGAGTCTTTCTTACCAAAGTGATCGTATCCTTGTTCATAGTATTGTAGATACATCTTGTCGCAAGTTCGTCACCCTACCAAAGAAATATCGACTCTCGAATGGAAAATAATCCGATTAGATCTTACTCGGTATAATTTGATCAGTTGCGATAAACGGTTTTCATATTGATAATTGGAATCATACTCTTCTGTGTCGAATAAATATTGTAAAGCTGTTTTATTTCGAATCAATTTTGTCCATACTGATCGACCTAGGAAAATCTTTGTCGTTGCCGACAGATCTATTCTCTATTTGTTATTGAAAACTTACCATGCGAATGCATATGTGGAAAAGCAGAAACAATTGTAATTCCTTCTTCCGGAAAGTTCTACAGTAGTGTCCATAATGAATTTTTTAGATGAGACATAGACAACGAGTCATATTTACCATCGTAGCAGTCGCCGAACAGTACGAATCAATGATAAATCGTTCTACTTTCGGTGGGATGGCCAAAGCGCGCGGCGTTGAAATAGTGCCCAAAGTCAAATAGCCAAGATCATATTGACGAAGTTCTTTACCGATATAAAAGCGAATACCTGAACTGTCCGTGCGATCTAAGTAAAACATCGAACATCATGCATCAATTTTCATTCCATATCAATCAAATATCATACTCGAAAGTTGATTGGGATTGTTATAGTGTATTTGAACCATATAATATTTGATGGGAAAATCACCACCCATTGGATATCCAGCTTCTTCTGGAAATGCAACCATCTATTTTAAATAGCTTTCTTTTGTTTATATTTCTTATTTCGGAAAATAATTTTGATCTTACATCATTACCACCGACATCCCAGACAATGGCACCATTATATGCACACGATGCTGTTTGTTGATAAATTGCATCACACAAATCGTCAGGCAAATCATTATCATCAAATTGAGCTGTTCGGTCACATTCATACATCAGTAGATGATGAACAAGATCTTGATTGGCGACATCAACAATTATCTTATGCTATGTAAAATAAGACAAAAATGAAAGTTATTTTAAGAAACTGATACGTACACCAACAGCGTGTCGTTTCACTAGATAATTACTCGGAGCTTTGTATATTTTACAATGATGTGTTGTCTCTGTTGATGGAACGACATACTGAAAAAAAAGATCGAATCCATGTAAAGAATAATAACTTTAATAAGACATTGAAATGTGACATGCATTATTCAAACAAAAATCGAAGTAGTCAAGTCCAGCAAATATGTCTTCAGTTGGTGGATCAGCATATGATCGAAGAGAAAGAGCACGTGAACCACGTCGATTTTCATGATAAGAGATTTCACCATTTGATTCTGACGGAGTAGGATCGGCAAGACCATAAGCAAAAATAAGATTATTAGTACCAGACTAAATATTGATAAATTATATACTTAGAATTGAACAAAGCGATTGACTTCTACTGAAAAAAATTTGTATTTACTACTCGAAACTATATTTGCACTCAACAAAGGCCATAAAGGTATCGAAAAAAGCTAGATTGTCGAGTAGTGTACACATTGGAAAATCGTTCTGATTCGAACGATCTTGTCTACTAGCGAATCGTATCATTTCGACTCAGTAGCTTGACACGTCGAAACCTAAATCCAGATATTTGCAAGTCCACAAATTCAGGATTTTCGCATGTTTCAATTGCCGTGAAATCCAATCATCACCTATTCGTGCAGTTTTTTGGAAGCCTTACCTGATCATTTTTTTTGCAAGAAAAGTCACCGAAACAAACTAGCTGTACGTTATCTGGCATAGTCAATAGTAGTTTTACTCGCAACTTTTGCGAGTTCGATTTACATAGGTTTGATCGTAATTCTCACCATTAATTGCTCAGTAGTCGAAGCGACTTTTCCATTTCAAGACATATGAAATTACCTTGATTGGAACATCCATGAGATCACAAGTGTCTAGTAAACGTTTGAATTGAATGACTGTCCATCCACTCATTTCACGACCTTGAAGAGCAAACCAATCAATCGTGGTATTATCAACCATAGGACGTTCATTGGCGAATGCATAGCGATCCTTGAGAAAAACAAGTTAGATCACATACTACAACTTAGATAAGTTCTTTTTTACTTGAATATATACACTGCCTTTCTGGTCAACCCATCCTACACCGATGTCAGCACCTTTCATGCCGCCCGCTGAATATAGTCAGCTCGTGAATGAAGATTTGAACATTGAATAGAAACAAAAAACCTACCTGGACTAATACCCAATGCTATCCAGCCTATTGTATTGATGTGTAATTCGAAAGTGATCTCTCGTTCATTGTCATCGACTGTCCACCAGAGAACGGCTACATTTTTCTGCAGTTCAACCGAATGTTTGTATGTGGTGAAAGGTGCTACAGGACTCGGCATAGCTCTACTTCTCTCGATCACCACAGATGAGATGATTAATTGTAAAATGATGTAGAATTTCGTCATTGGTATGTTCTAAAAAATTAATTGCTGTATAGACAACCAATGCAGCACTCCATATGCAAATACTCCAAAAAATATCCGGACAATTCAAGGAACTCCTACAATTTCCTAAAACCATCTTTGGTTCAGACACGTGCAAACTGCATAAAACTTTCAGAATATATTAGGACTTAAGTGGCGAGGCTATAGGAATCTTCTTTCTGTACATTTGATTTCTTTGTTAAAAAGAACATATCAGGAGATAGTTCAGTGCAAAACCTTTTTTTGTAACTCTTACTTTTTAAGTGGAGTAAAGACATTATCATTTCATTTTCAAGGAAACTCCGAAAAACATGGTACTCTATTGTGTTACTGATCTGTCATCGCTATTCTCCGCTTAAAAAGGTAAAAATTTAAGAAAAAGGAGCTCTGCCATGCAATGCATCCTGACATACTCGTGCATACGAAAACATTCAATGTATAGAATGAAGAGCCACAGAGAATTTTTTGGTCGCCAGATAAGCCATTGTTGATCTTTATTTATTGAATATATTCCGCAAATATCATGTTATAGGCCTAATAATTTTACTATAGTCTCAACATATTTTGAAAGTTTCATGCGACTTGTATAAGCCTAAATCAAAATACAGACACTTTTTGGTGTATCCTCATTTTTTTCCCCAACTTTTCGCTGCTTTTCATCTCCACTGTGACTTGACTGTTATCGTGCTGGATAGGATGTTGATGTACGTGAAGAGAAGATACATAGTAACATCCAAAACGACAACCACACCCTTCTGTTGTAAAAGATATTCTGAAACTCATGTTCGAAAAGACGTGGAAAAATTGCTCTTTTTGACATGTGGAATTTTCCAGCTGAATTTCAGTTGCCAGTTTTCTTCAAAAAAGCTTTCGACACACGTTTAGGATAGAGTTGTAGAGTAGGATCGAGGAAACAAGCTTCTCTTGAAAAGAAGAAAATTGAAGAAGTTATTGTGACAATACTGAGATTCATTCTTTCTGCCACATCTGCTAGATGGCAATTATTGGAGATTATTGCATTGCAGAACTTGATTAGAAAATAATATACAGCACATAAACGAGAATGAAGCATTAAAATATTCTCTTCCAAAATATCATTCACATAAAGATGTTAGAGTAGTAGATAGCTTCTGTTAGCTTCTCCTAGAAAGAAATGCAATTCCTATGAATGCCTCTCATATTACTATTCCTGATTGATTTGCGATTAGGTAATAACTTATGAATAAGAAAAATCAGACCGATCTCATCGACCTAAATGCTTTTCTTACAAGACGTTTTATTACTCGTGCTCGGGAACAAATGGGCTATCTTTAGCGAAATGTTTTCTTATGTGCCACATTTGAAAAATCGTGATGCTTCTCTTATTCTGCGAATAAAGGCCTTTCGTTTGACATTCAATATCTTCGGTTTCGATTCAGTTCGTCGTGATTCAAATAGCTTTTTTGAAGTGTTTCTACATCGGTGAAAAAGTCTACTGTAGGTATAGTACTTTCCTGTTACTTAAAAATAAATTGAAATTGTAGACAATTTAATTTATTCTAAATTTAAATAATTTGCACTTAATTTATACTGTATTAAATTATACATAAAATACAATAATTCTATTTCTTTTTGATATTTTATCGTACTCAGACGAACAGCGAAAACAAAACGCGTAAAATATGCATCATATTTTGTCCACTATCAACTTGTGAAAAGTGTATACATCTTTACATGTTCATAGCACGTTAAATTTCTGAAACAGATATATATCTGGTGAAAAGTCGAAGGCGTTATGAACACATGTACATGTGCGCTTTTTACTATTTCATTTTTGTTCAAATTTCAATGCGCTTTTACACATTTGTTCCCTTGTTCGTATGACTCCGACGAAATATGAAAAAGAAATACAACAATTTAATGTAATTTAATTTATACTTTAATAAATTATAAACTTAGCACACATAGTTTGTATTTAAAATAAAATAAATTTTGTTATAATTTATACTTATATTAAATCAACAACAAAATGACATTCCTACTCATTGCCATGTTCCATCAATTTTCTTCTTCGTAGCAGCTCTTGACATTCAGTTTTATTTTACCACTAGTCTGACAATGTAAAAAATTAAATATACTCACTTAATCAATGATATGGATCTGTGCGAATTTTGTTATGTATGCTAGCAAACAATTTTGCTTCGTACTTATCAATAACGAAGTTACTTGATTTTTTTCCCACTTACGTTTGCTTATGTGAATCAATAAAACACGTCATGTTCATCACGTAGGTAGTTTTTTTCTCATTAATGCGCTCTTCATCACATGTATTTCGTTCTTTCGATGTTTTTTCTCTTTTTTTGTCGTTTTTTGCGTTTTGTTTTTTCGGATGAGAAAATATATACTAATATTTGCATACAGGAGAGCATTACACTTAAATTTCGAATTTTTTTTTTCTTATGAGTAAAGAAAACAATAGCTGTCTGATCTCGTAATTATATAAGAAGTGCTAGCAGTATGTTGTTTAAAATCAGATTTCTTTACGATCATGACTCCTTAGAGGAATCAATTGATGGATTTGATTGTGTAATTCATTGAGTAATTGTCATTACTAGTGAGTGTGATCGAGCAGGCATGAAAATCATATGAAACATCGTAGCGATTGCTGTAATCAGGTGTGAAATGGATGAAATGTTTTGTTGTTGGTTAGAAAGTTGCTAATCGACCTTGAGCCGTTAAGCAGACGACTAATTGCAAAGATAACATGTCCAGATACAACTTGTGAAACAATTGAAAAGTCTTGAATGTTATGAATCAATCATAGTTAGTGATAGTGACTGTGAAAAATCAGAACAACACCCACACTTACACTCACACATCCATTTCTGCTCTATTTTCTTGAATTTTATGATAGGTTGAAGTCACAGATTTTCAAGTTGCATATGTATCCTGAATTCTGTAAATTTCTTCGAACTATCGATATCTAGATCGTACGTATGTTGCTATATTTTGTCACGTTTCTTGAGAATTATTGTGCAAAAATACGATATTATGCATCATTGATAATTCATTGAAGAAGCGAATACGAAAGCAACGACGAACATACGAGAAAGCTAAGAGTACAATAAAGAAAAACCTATAAGATGAATATAAACAAAACTAAAGAAATATGATTGACTTTTATTCAATGGAATGAATATTTGCTTGTCTATTGTTTAATGTCTCACTTGTAAATTCAGTAACGAATAGAAGTGATCAGTATACATATGACATTAGTCTATTAAATTTTACTCTCACATATATATATAAATATTTCTAATGTTAGAAGACGATAGGTGATGTTGGCAGTATGAATATACTATCATTCTCACTCTAGTTAAAATAGTTGTTGTTTATATTTGTTATTTCTTCTCCTATGAACGGCAGAATCTATCTTTTTCTTTTTCTACCATAAGAATAAAAACATGACACTATTATCTAGGTATATCCTTGATATCTTTGCAAATATGAAAGTTTCTCGTGCGAAAAAAGTTGTCGATTACCTTTGCATTGATTCGTGGCCACATTGTTGTGTTGAGTTTTTTCTAAACTGCAAATATCACGATTAAAACTGATTAACAAATAAATTACATTGAAAACAAAGAAAAAAAACATTTTTCTTAGATGCTTTTAATTTAGTTGCCATTTGTTTATTCATAGAATGTGTAAATAAATGAATACTCAAAAAAAAACAAGATTATGTTTTTCTTTCTTTCTTTCTCTCTGTTTGATTGCATCTCATCAAGTCTCTTTTATTGCTTTTCGTCTTTTTTTTTCTAACGTATTGACAAGTTTTAAATGACTAGGAATGCATTAAAAATCAATTCATCACTGCTGATTAGGTTTCAGAAATATTTTTCTTTCACTTTTCGAGAATCAGTTCTCGATGTCAGGTTCCATAAATCTTTGATTAAAATAATGGAAGAAGAACATAAATCTTTCATAAAAATAAAGAAAAAAAAAGCAAAACAAACCATATAACAACAAAAGCTTTGCATTAAAAGATCGACCTTAAATTACCATACATAGATAAATCTCCATCCTCAACAGTAAGATAAAAACAACTAACTATATATCTAAAAGAGAGACAGAAGATTGTCCATCTATATAACATATATAGATGCCAGATTCTGAAAGTCATGAGCTCTAAATTGTTTTTGGTAAGAGTAATTTTATAATTTCTCATGATATACAGAGTGAAATTCATTACTAAAATATGCATTGTTGTTGCAGAATAGACTGCCCAGAAATTCAAGAAAGATATTTGCAAAACTTAAAGTTGAGACAGTGAAATTTCAAAACTTTAATACTTGATTTTAAGTTGCTGACTACATTGATAGTGATAAAGATCATCTGCTTATACAGTAATGGACAAAACTCCCGCCACTAGAGGGTGGGGATGTGGATGTGCGTGTCGGTTTGGGGTATGGATGTGGGTGTGGGTGTGGGTGCGAGTGTGGAGTGTGAGTTTCGATGTGAGCCTGAATATTTCTCAAAGCAAGACTTATACCAACATTCACACTTACATATATTCACATCCATAGCCACACTCATACATTATCGAAAGAATTAGTTCGTTTTTCTTTGAGTTTTAAAGATTGTTCGGCAATTTAATAGATATTATTAACAAAAATCTACAAAGAATTTCGAATCAACATAAATTCTTTCACGAAAGAAAACTACACACGATTACGAAATACAGAGAAAAAAATGTACTTATCTGAAGAAGTGAAAGCAAAATTTCTCATCAATTCGATATGCAATAAATTTATTGTTTTAGTTTAATCATCAATAATACATTATTGTTTGATATATGACAACTATTTTCGGTACAATAAGTTCATTTAAGCCATACAACGATCCAATTTTTCTTGTATTCAACAGCGAAGGAATCTTCTTCTCGTAAATGACTATGATCGATAAGCCATTGACGAAGATTTTGACTCGCTTCATTTGTTAATGAACCGCTAATGTAACAGCTGCGAAGATTTTTATCTTTCCACAATGAAATCACTAGTAGAATAAGTGAATCAACGATAAATAGTGTATCTTCCAAGAATAGATCAATATCACGAAGATGATGTAATTTTCGTGCAATATTGTCCAATTGAATCGAGTGAATTTCTCGAAAATCGCTGATTTGAAGATATATAATTCGCTTCTGCAATAATTCACATGTAGATGCATCATTGAGTACAGTGTTTAAACAATCGAAATCAATGCTTAGATGCCTGAGATTAGGTGCGGCTTGAACTAGATGAAATATTTCACATGTTCCATTAACGCAGAGACTCTTCAATTGAGGTAAATGCAAGGTAATTGATTGAATTGAGTGGCCAGTAACTATAGCTGAAAGAAATTAATGCTAATGACTTAAAAAACTAAAACTGCAATGCGAGACTTTGTCTTTTGATGAATCACAATCGAACTCGGACTTTTCTCGAAATGTAAAATGAAAAAAAAGCTCTTTTGAGTAAATGAATATTAAAACAAAGCGTGAAACATGTAGAAAAAAAAGACATGTTTTTATTTTTCTTCTGTGTTTGACTGAAAATGAGCACATCTATGCATTATATTAAATACTTCCAACTACTCTAGATGAGCTGTACGGAAAATCATAATAGAAAAAAATCCGATATCTTCAGTTTGCTTTTATGAAACACGATCTTATCGTGGATCGTGATCAATATATAGAAGGTCTTCATATATGAAAAAGCGCCTCGATCGTAATTTAAATTCTAATCTGATAGGTATTACGCGGAAAGCTTTCATCAATCAGGTTATTTTTTCGATGATGGATCATACCTCAACTTATCCTCTTAAAAAGAGACTTCTAAGAAATTTCGTCTTGAAATCTCATCATTGACTTCAATAAAGAAACGTTCATTTTTTTCTCATTTGGGGGCAGAACACCGTCGAAGGAGAATGTTCAGATGATTAAAAACTTTTCAAGCTGTCCTTCTTCTAATGCTGGAGGACTACTAGACTATAAAATCCTTCAAACAATTTGCATTCTTCTAGTTTTAGTCGAGACACTGAATTTTTCATGAACGCTTTCGTTTCGGACCCATTTTTTTCCGTAAAATTTGAATTTCAAGTTTTCACGCGAAACTATGTCCGAATTTAGATTCCAATGATACCAGTTTGTATACGGAATTTCTCAAATCTTCGATTTAAAATTTCTGAAATATGAGTTTTTTCGAAGCATCCATATTTTGCAGAATACTGATAAAAGTTTATCTACGTTTAACAGAACTCCTGTCTCAGAAAGGTTAAATCCAAAGATTCGGAAACTTTTTACCCAAGGATGCCCGATAGGAGCCAAAATACAGATAAAGTTTTAGATGAGAACTTGAAATTAAAATTTGACGGAAAAATATAGGGTCTGAAATGGCTTTCGTCATTAAAAACTCAAGATCACGATTAAAACTCAAGAAAAATGCAAACAATATAACGTCTTTATAGTCTAGTAGTCCACTAATATTGGGACAACGATAGGTTCAAAAGCTTCGAGTCATGTCAGCATCATTTGAAAATATTTTGTTCGCAGATTGCAAAACAAAAACATTAATTCATTGAAGTCAATGGTGAGATTTCAAAGCGGAGTTTGTTATCAGGCTATACGATTTGGGAGGGGATTTCCACCCCCAAAAATTTTTCTTACATTCTGACTTTCTCCCGGAAAATTTTCTTGGCTCATAGTGATGTTTTTATTTTCAGCTGACTTGACTGAACTGTGCAAAATAAAACTAATTGTTCTCACTATAGCAAAGAGACCACGTATTGTCTGGTCAAGAGACATAATCTATTCAGTGATTTAGAGAAAAGAAGACAGCTAGAATTCTAAGAGAAAGAGAAAGTCATCCAATATCAAAGACATTGATGGCAGTGATGATGAAAAATACATGAAACAATTAGCAATATTTTGATATTCTTGATGTTAACAATATTTATGTGGAGAAAATAAACTTGTTTTCATTGATTTGAATTTTTTTCATAAACTTATTGGCGTGAAAAATAGAGAAGAGAAAACTGCTAGAACTGAAAACGGAACACTTGAAATTTTCAGCTGAAAACATATCTTACTGCAAAAAACCTAATTTAAAGAATCGTTTCTCCCCAGCTTTAGGAGACTTTCCCCTGAATTCTTCCTCCTCTCTGCAAAATGAAACGAAAACTATGTTTCTTATCGGTTTTCTTTCTAAAAAGTACTTCGAAATCTGCTCTATCTTCGAGAAAAAAAATATCCTAATTGATGAAAACAGAATTCGAATATTGAATTCCTGTTGCTAGTACTATTTTTCAGTTCAACGTTTGTATGACTATTCACTAAACAGTTGTTTGATCTCATGAAAATCTTGAAGGCAGAAAAAATAGTGCAAAACCGATGAATCTTTCGGGAGATAGAATATCGATGATTGATACATTTGAAACTTCCTTTGAGAAATATGTTTTGAGCTACGATGATGATGTAGTAGAAATTTTTAACATAATCATTGTTAATGAGAAGCCAAATAGTGGCTTAATCTTTGCAACGAGAAGCGTTTTACGAAAATTCTTTTTATTCCCTCCACATCTACTACAACTAATAGATGTGTAGCAAGTTTTCACAAGACATAGCCTCTAAAGCTGATCTTGTGATTAATAAGTGTCTATTATTCTGATGAAAAATCAATCTCTTTTGCATGTTTGATGGTCTCTATCTCAGAAAGTGCAAGTCAATCACTTACTTCCACTGCATCGACAAGTTTATCAAATTTCTCAATGGAAGTACCAGAACTCTATGAAACATTCATTTATATTTACTTTTCAAGGGACACTATCCTTACGTAATTATAGTTTTTGAACATGTTTCTTTAATGATAACGACTTATCGAAACATAATCAGCTCATGATTTATACCATGTTCGGTTTCATTCATTTCAGTTGGATTCCTATTCTCTTGTGAAGTACTATCTTGACAGTCTAGCAGCATAAGTTATGACCTAAAACTTAGCCTATCTACCTTCTCTAATCATTGCCAACCATTCAATTTTTGTAATATTTTTCTGATGAAACCCTTGATTTCTCTGGCAATATTGTAAATGAAGCAGTAATTAATCATTTTCACGCAGCTTATCAATAGAAGCGAAAAGGGAGTCCCAAAATTATAGTCAAAAACAGACACTTATATGGTGCCGACAAGTAGAAAGAGCGAAAATTTTCCAACATACGCAGCAGAGGTACTTCCTGCTATTTATGTCTGTTTACGAATTCGTATACTTCATTGTCTCTAGCCCATGATATAGTCATCTGACAAACTTATCTCTTCTTCTGTTTCTACTGAACATATATTGCCTTTGTTTTCTTTATATTGTCATTGTAGGTCAGTAAGTCGATTTTATTTTATCTCTGTATACATTGCTTATAGTGCATGAGACTTATAAAATCTAAATTTTCGGTAGAAAAATTTCTTGTGAAGAATCGCATACGTGCTTTAGAATTGATTATTGAGCCAATATTAAGCTTTCGAAGTCGATGAAAGTGTTGCACGATCAAATGTATATCGGTGAAACTTTGTTCGCCACGAATTCTCAAATCTCTAACCTGTCGAGTGTATTCTGAACCAACCAGCATGGAATTAGCTAATGTTCCAGGAATCACAATTAAAGGCAAGCTGCAAGGAATCGTATGAATTACTGCATATTCATTTGGTTTATCTGGCAAACAGGTTATTTGAATATGAGTTGGCCATGTAGAAAGTAAATTATTTACTTCCATATGTGATCCATAAAAGAAATACATTATGAATAAATGGATCTCGACAAGTGATGAAGGTAGAATTTTAATGAAATTCTGTCCATTAACAAGATGTGCATCTTTTGAAGATAGATTTAATGCTAATCGTTGCAAAGATGGCATCTTACTCAGAATATAAGCAATTTCGTCTAATGACCAGCGTGCATTCATCGAACATAACTGAAAATCTTTTAAATGAACAAGAGATAACGCATTCGCTAATTTCAACTTTGAATCAGATGATATTTGATGAATGTTAATATGTAAACGATTAATATGTGGTACAAGTGTGAATAGATATCCCAGTGTTTTATCTGTCTTTATGTTTACCACTAACTCTTCGATGTTTCGATAGGAAACAACTTCGCCATTTTCAGTCGAAGGCAAAATAAAATTCATTGAATCATCATCGAATAATACGGATTTCAATCGATTATTGTTAGCAGCTAAAACCTTTTTCAGTAATGCTCCTGTTTGTGCACCTTTCAAATTTCTAATATCAAGCTTGACAAGTTGGTAAAGATCTGTGACTTTGTCAAGAAATAGAAGTAACTGTTCATCGGAGAAACTCATGAGTGTCAATGTCTGTAATTGTGGAAACACTAAAGATAACTTTGAATGAAAGAATCTCGAATGTTCTTCGTTGTACAACATATTTTCCCATAGCCCACTGAAAACAAATGATCGTATGGACAGGCTGATTTGAGGAACGATTCGTGCCGCGACAAAGTCAAACTGCCTATGCGTAACATGTGTGAGGTTTACATGATGACAGAAGTCGGTTATTGTCGAATTAAGACGAAAATTCAGATTAAAAAATGAATAGAGAATTTCAGCACTATGGAGATGTTGACATACAAGTAATATCATTTCATCCGGTAACATTTCGAAAGTTGAAACTTCTTCCATTCCCAACGACAGATCTCGTAGTATGTTTGAATAAAAAAGGTACGTGAAATTTTTTTGATAAAAAAGAGAACATGCACTGAAACTGTTGAATACGATCTGACTCAGAAGAAAAATACCAAGTTACGAAACATGCGTGCCGAGAGAACAAAAAAAACACGCTTTCCTTTCTATGTTTATGACGTCAATGCAAGAAAGAAAAGAAATTATATTTGCATAGTCAGTAAGAAAGTTTTGAGTATGTGGGTGACAGCGCATTATACAGAACGGATGAATGCGTAGGTGTGGGTATGGATGGGCATGGATGCGAGAGTGTGGGTATGGGGTTGGATGGATGTGACTATGGTTATGGGTGCGAATGTGGATGTGAGTGTGGATGTGGGTGTGAGTGCGGGTGTAGTTTGGAGAAAACGTTCACACCTACACCCTCATACCCGTAATATGATGAACTTCCTTTATTTAGACATTCTTTTAAGCATCCATTGATTTAACATGATCTTAATAATTTACAATTATTAATTGATGCTATGAATTTACCCCTTTTAAGTAATTAAAAACTAATTAATAAAAACTTTTATTTTCCTTTTTATTACAGAATATCGAATGTTACAAATGAAATAATTGATGTCAATCAGCAGAAAAAGTTTTTCATTTTTAGTGAAGTAAAAAACATTTAAAATATTTATCATTTTATTCATAGAATTTGATCGATATTTACTTGTGCTATGGATGATACGACTCCTCCAATCCCACCAGCATCAGAAATAACTTTTTCATCACTTCGTGCTCTATCTGGTCAATTGAAAAACGTTTCGAAAGTACCAATGATTCAAGTAATCCAATAATCTTATCATTTAAAANTGTGTTCTCGATTTTCAATCAGTTACAAAATATGATTTTCATCTTCTTTGTCGATTAATTGATCCTCGAAATGTCATCTCATTGACACTCTCCGATGACAATGATCCACTTGATCGAGTCGATTTAGTCCTTTCACTGTTTAGCCTTCAACAATTCTGTCGACTTCGATCGTTGACTTTACTTAAAATTAGAGAACAATATTTAGAAGCAATTTTGAAGAATGTCAACACTACTTCGCTTATTTCATTCTCAGTAGCTAATATAACATATGATAATCATCGACTCACCAACAAAACTATAGAACTTATCTCGTCGATAATCGAACAAGTGAATCTTCTTAAATTCGAATTCCTAGATGCTAGACGGTATGAACTAGATAATATGATTTGGCCAGATCAATCAACAATTCAACAACTGAGAATTGGCATTTCTATTACTTCTGATCAGATTTCTAAAATTCTTCGCAGCTCACCTCATCTACGCAGACTCATTATAGATTGTTTATCCGGGTCAAAGTCTGGTGTGGCTACACTGCTGCATCTTTCCCCACCATTTCAGCAAGTCATTTCATTAACCGTGGAAAATATGAGTGCAGAAATTGATGATGTCAAACTACTTCTATCACTAATGCCTTCATTAACTCATCTGAAACTAATTAATCATCAGACATTTCTAGACGGTAATCTATGGGAACAATTTATTCAAACAAATCTACCTTTGTTGATTAGTTTCGAGTTTTTCTTTACAACATGGCAGCATGTTCCATATATTCTTTCTGATATCGAATCGATAATCGCATCATATCAAACACCATTCTGGCTCGAACAAAAAAAGTGGTATGTTACATGTGAATATTATATAAACGAGCCAACGTGGATCGATCTCTATTCAGTTCCAATTTGCAAGTCTTCTTTGACCTATAAATGGGAATCGAACAGAGTGTTTCTCTCTACTTTTTCCAACTTGATTGGCGATGATGCATCTAGAATGGATAATGTGACTAGAGTTCTACTGACTGTCTCAGAATCGATGCTTGCCAATATTAAGCAACAGATGCAAACAAATGTGAGTGAGTATGATGTTTCTTTCTATCTACAAAGATCTCTTAGTCATATCAGACTAGAAAAAGCTTTTGATACGTGGTTAAGTCAGAAATTTGATGTTAGACAAAGATTTTGCTTCAAGTTTTGTAAAACTTTCTCAATTGAAAAATCTTATTTGTTAAAAGCTTCGTTTAAAATGGTGAAGAGAAATAATAAAAACTTGACTTTGTTTTTCGATATCAAAAATTCATTAGCATATAAAAGACGACCATATTCTAATGATAATCTTTTTGAAAATGTTTCAATGCCAGTGCCTTTAAAAGCCTAAACTAAATTGATATTTGAGCGACTCTACATCATCAAGGTTGTTTCAAAGTAAGATTTGATGAATTTCATTGTACTTTATTCGATGTCTTTTCTTTATTGACTAATAACATGTTTATTTTGAGGCAATTGAAGTAAATGATGTCGTAGTTCACAAATGGAAGTGATTTTCGCTAGTCACATCGTATAGAGGTTCCCATGTGTCTTTTTCTCTGTCTAGAACGAAAGAAAAAATCATCCTTTATTTCTCAAAGTGAAAGAACTTCAAATCGAGTTCAAGAATAATTTACTATCAGACTGGAGCCTATTTGTTTCGACACTAATCAATCTAAACACAATCGTTCAAATCAAGTTCACAGGTCGATCAATTTATAGAGCAAGACGTCACATACGAGCCAACATCGCCAGTCTCCTCCGAAGAACATGTTGTCTTACTTCTCTCACTATAGATTACGATTTTACTATTTACAACAGTTGGACTGCTGATAATATTTGTTCTATGGTTCCTTTTCATATCAAACATTTGACAGTATCAATTAAGAATCCGGATGAAATTAAACTTGTTCTTAAACGACTTCCATATTTGTCAAGTGCTCAATTTCGCTTCGGTTTTACATCGTCTTGGAGAAAATTCACTGAATGGTTTGAAGAGAACAAGGCAGGTTCAAGATACAAAGGTGATGCCTATTCGATGAGTATATGGCTTGAAAAGAGTACCGTCCAATCCACAGAGCTCAAACATGATAATAAAAGGATCAAATTGACGAACAGTCATCATAATACATGAATTACATGAAAGTCTCAAAATAGCTTCATAATTGCTTTTGAATAAAACTTTGAACATGCTGCTTGTACAACGTAGTGCTAAGAATCCTATGTAACTTCGCATGAGACACAAGTTAAGAAAGATTTATCAGCAAATTTGAATCGGATGAGCATGAACAGTACGATGGATCGAGTTTAGTTGTAAACGCGTGTGTTTTTGTCAACATATTTTATGGTTTATCGGATATTGGTGACGAAATTTCGAAAACAAAAAAACCTCATAACTTTGATTATTTGGAAAAACTAAAATCGCTCCATTGATTTCTTTATTTTTGCATCATTTTCTTTTCATAATTTTGATATGATTTCGAAAATCAGTTTGAAGCTACCACAACACGTCAAAATGGAAACCAATTAGAAAGCGATAAATAAAAAAGAAATATCAATATGGAGAAGAAACCCATGAACATGATATTCCATAGCAAACGTAGCATATATATCACTGCTATACATACGGATATTGTATTATCGGAAACATTAGAAAAAGTGTAATTATTTTATTTTTACAAAATTATTTTTTCTGCACAATTTCTAGAGTTCCTCCTTTCCTAAAAAAAAGCACGGATCCTTCAATTTTCTACTAAAAATATTGAATATTTTGTCGGAAAAAAATGGAAATGAACAACATCACAGAAACAATAGATTAGTTTCAAAGATAGTACTTTTTCTTTAATACAAAAGATATTAGTGATGATTAAATATAATTGATTGTATCAGTTTGCAGAAAACAATTGATTATTATTAATTTGAACTTTATTTAATTCATATTCTTATAGCAACTTGACTAAGAACTATAGATTAATATCTACTGTTAATCTGTTAGAACACAAGGATTTTAAACCGAAATAAAAATATAACTATACGATAGTTTCAATTTTAAGTTTAAAAACTCGACGAATGCATGAGCACGTAAAAGTTGGCCATTTCTAAACCATTTTTCAAATCCCCGAAAATATATATAAACAAGTTCTCTAATACTGCTGATATTGTCGTCTGTCCTATTCTCTCATAGAATTTTCTAATTCGTAGCATGACAAAAGATAGTATGTGAGGGTTTACATCGTTTTCAACTCCTTACGTATTACGTAGTCATTGTATGAGAGAAGACTATTCAAGATCTTCTAATTAAATAATATAAATATCGTGTCTCTCTGCAAATAAAAAAAAAACTCTGTTCAATGTACGCTCTTTCTGGTGTGTTAGTACGGTCTTGTATAAAAATGCGAAGTTTCGATTGATTAATAATTATTCTAATGAAAACTTTAATAAAACTACTTTCACTTGATACTGGAATCATTTTTTGTCAATTATATATAGAAAAATATAATGAGATAAATCAAATGAGATTTATATTAGCGAAATCTATTATGCCAATCGTAAATTTCAGAAGATACATTCATTATATCAACCTTGTCATGTATTAAGCATGAGATCACAGTGCTGCCATTAATAATGGTCACCTTTTGTTTGAACTTCGAAAAAAATAAAATTAAAGAATTATGTTCCCAAATTTCCACAATAAACAGAGTTTGAATGGAGTTTGTCATTGAAACATGTGAAAAGTACAGATACAATAGCATTCAAATTTCAATATATACTCATATTACATAATTCTTGACTGCTCTTTTATGTCTGATAAACTTTTGTTCAATGTTAATAGAGAGTGCCGGTGCCGGTGTGTACGTTGTAACCAATATTCATACCCACACCCTCGGAAGTCTTTTTAACATTTATCTCTCTGCTGAAGATGCTCGGAACTCTTGATTCCACATTAAAAGAACATTATGTACTGAATGAATCGCAAATGAGAAATTCGAAGATATTCATTCAAATGTTGCCAATTTCATTCAGTAAGAAATATGTTTTTCATGCGGAATCATGATATCCGAGCACTCTCAGCGATAGAGATGTACCGCATCTTCGGCTGCTATCAATGAGAACGATGTATGATATGTTTTTCTTCCTTCACATCAAGTAGGCAGATATTCATGGTAAGACAATTTTCATGAAGCTGTTGTTAGTTTGACTTTTGAAGATTCACTATTTTTTTCTAAAACTCAATTTGTAACTCAATGAAAAAAGTAAAATTGGATATAGTTCAGGGCATATTAAACAANNCAGGTTTCAGATCAAAATTCAAAAATATAGCTTTGCTGCAAAAGTGGGGTGCTATAGAAAAAAGACACTAAAAACTCGATATCTCGTCAGAAACAAGCCAGGGGGACGAACTTTTTTTACCACAGACATAGCTCACTATGGGCTACAAGATGCGCAAAACTCCGGCTGAAAAGTGCTCTGGCACCTGGGAAGGTTCCCTTGTGAGTACCATTTCAGTTCTCTGATCAAGAACTGTCATAAGTCTAATGACAATCAAGGTATATTCTGTTGCAGTATGATATATTTTTTAACTTGCTCTTCTCAACTTATGGTAAAACTTAGCAACTATGTTCTGCGATTTTTGTTTTTCATCATAAAAGCAATGTCATTGTGTGAAATATTTTAACATCATCGAGATTGTATTCATATACTTTTTAATTATGATCCTATATTTACAAGAAAAAATGTCAAGTGATAAAATTCAATTATTTTATTTGAAAAGAAAAATAACATTAGAAAAATCACTTTCTAAAAGTTTAGTGAATTGTAGTTATTGGATGCACTCGAACTGTCATATCACCAGCAGTTATTTGTAATACATTTTCTTGGTTTAATTTTCGATGATAACATGGTAACAAAAAACTTTGACAAGAATTTTTCGCCAATGTTTTTTTTTGGAAATACTTTTGAAATGATTTAACTCGAATAGAAAATTAAACTGGCTTGAATAAAAACAAGATTGAAGCCCTAATTTAATAGAAAATAATGTAAAGCTTGATGTTTCATACTTATGTTTTCATTCGATATTAATTGTGTATAAACAAGAATAATTGATTTTGTTAATGAAAATATAACAAAAATAAAAATTTCTAACAACAACATTTTTGCTAATTGATGATTTTTTGATGATAAAGTATTTGTATTACGTTCATTTTTCGTCGGATGAATTCAACTTTGTTCGTCGAATATTTTTCAATGTAATTATGCTAAATATTGCCATTAAAAGTCGAGGTAAAAATCTATTAGTAATCATTGTTAAATAACTCACAAAAAGATTATAGAAACCAGAATTAAAAAAGTAAAGCTTGAAAGTTGGAAGAGATGATAGGGTGTGGCTGTGGGTAAAGAGAAGATCCACACTCACACCCCGAAAACGTACTAATCAAAATTACAATGGGCAAATCTCAAAATGAAATTGGCAATTGTGTATTTGTCTCTCCGTTGTTTACGCCGCTGGTCTAGATCGAAAAGTCACACCTATTATGGAAGTATGTTTCATGATGGAAAAATTATATTGAAGAGAACATCAAACATGACCTTTATGACTAATTCGAAGCAAGAAAAAAGTCAACATCTTCTACCTATGCTAGTCACTGGTTTATGCAATGTAAACCCAGTTTGGTAGGTTCTTTTTGTTTTTTTGCAAAAAAGCAACTTCATGAGATATTGATAATAATAAATCATATATGCTGTTTTCTGTGATCCTATCCTAATTCTCGGTATATAAGATAAAAAGAATTTTAATTATGAAAGAACATCTCATGAAATTTAATCAAATATTGTCGGTGAACAGAGTTTGAATTTGATTTACTGTCAATTAACAAATAATGCTAGTACATATTTCATCAATGTAACATATATATTATTGTCATAGATAACACAATGTTCTATAGAAGCGAAAGAAAAAAGTTCTACTATATGTAGTCAATGAACAATTCATTATTGATATAATGTGGCCATCTGCAAGTAGAACAGACGTATACAATATATATCTGTATACAAAGTTATGCTTGACGAACATTGTGTAAATGATAACCAATCATGGATAATGAATCATTTTAAGAAAAGGTGTTTTAGAATTAAGAAATATGTAAGTGAATCAATCAGATGAGGCTTCGGACCAGGTATTTTCATTATAGTTACAATGTAATGTATTGCGTTTAAATACATACAACTTTAGAACTGACGCATAATAACATTAAAAATTATATAAATGAGAAAAAAAATCTGCCGAAATCAGAAAGGTGTTCAAGACTTTGATATATATTATTCGTTGAACGAATAAACATTGATACATATTGCAATGCTAATTCTATAGAAAGAAACAAGAATAGAAAACAATACCATCTCGAAATCAATACCTGAATAATTCAACATATGATTCTCTGGATCAAGAAATTGTTGTGGTACTAATGAATTACAAAGTTTAAATTGTTGAACAAGTGTAGCACGATATAACTACACAAAATACATTATTCAAAACAAAGAATTTTTCTTTTAACTCATATCTGAAGACCTTTTTGTCTTTCAGTCATAAATACTGAATCAGTTCTTCCGAGAAGTCATTTCTTTGGTAAATCGTAATCAAAATCATATTCTTTTCAGTTATTTTTTGCATTATGATTTGATGGTCTACGGGTCAAGATATGCCTCTATATGAAAGCATGGTATAGCATGTATTCGATGAAATACTTTATTATCTATTGAAACCACCAGTTGGAGTTGAATTAGATACTTAGTATCATAGAAAATAAATCCCAAGATACACAGTTTTATGTCTCCTAGCAGTACTGTATAAGTAGTTTCTTTTCTCTAAAAGTTAAAATTGTATCACATTTATTGCTAATATTGTTCATGACAGAAAGGTAACATATCACATGTGAGTGGGTGTGAGGTCTGGGTGAGGATAATCAGAAGCACATCATCTACATCCCCACCCACACTCCAGATCCAGACCTCATACCCACACCACCCCACCCCTACACCTAAAAGCAACGCCATCCGTCGGATGTTGACGGCGTAGGCTTTGGTATGAAAATGTATCTCTGGCAATTCACACCCACATCTTCAAAAGTGCACAGTCACAAAAACTCGTATGAAAAAAAAGAAATGCATTGCAATATAACTGTGAATCATGGTTCTCGACCGGATTCATGGAACAATCTTAAATTCATTAGTTTAAATGAATTTTATCTGATTTACTAGCACTGAAATATTGTTGAACGGCGCGCTCAAATGGTTTTTCAATGAGTAAAAACCAAATACAAGAAACAATCTGTGATATAAAAATAATAATCGGTAAACTCATAATAGCGGCACGTGTAACTGAGTACATTTTTAGAAACAACAAAGGTCCACCAAATATGAATTCAAGTGCTATTGGCCAATGAATAAGATAGACCAAGTAGCTCAACTTTGAAATTGGAATCCATATGGGACTGGAAAGAAATCGTCGTATCCAAGGCGCATGGTATGGGTGTGATGGTGGGCATAGTGCCGTGAACAAGATAAACGCTTGACCGATGGCAAATATTTGTCGAGAACTGGCTATCGACAATCTTAGAACAAGATCAGACATCAGTGGTGAATCGATCCGTTGTGTAGCTGTGAATAATATGTGGAGAAAGATTAAGCATAAACCGACATATTTTCTGAATGTACCATTTCGACTGTATTGATGCGGCATACGACGAACTTTTATTGCTAGCATGGCACCAATGATAAAACTTCCGAAACGAGCTTCTAATGGAAAATACATTTTTTGCATAAAAGATTTCAATAGGTTGGATACTTGACACTCAAATGGAAACGTAAAAAATTGTAATTTGATTGAAGCCATGAACATGTACGTTCAGGAATCAAAGCTGCTAAGGAATGATACTGTGATAAAATCGAAACGATTGACATTGTTGTAGGATCAAAGACTATGATAGATCGAATGATTGACAATAATAATAATGTTGCTAGGGAGTTGAAGACCAAAATATATTTACGGCATGAATAGAAAAAATATAGGAATAATGGTAAAAGAATATGAACTTGCATATCCAAACTGATCGTCCACAGAGGAGATAAGGTAGTTAGCCAATTGTCATAATCGACATAATTTTGAAAGAATAACCATACACTTACAACATAGTTGGCAGGATTGAGATTTCGTGATTCACCGCAAATGAACATAATTATAGTTGCCAACAAAATACCAGGCCAAAATCTTAGAGCCCATTTCAAAATCGATTTTGGATATTGCTGTAGAAATAGTCGATGGCTATTATCATCTTTCGTCCATTGTATGATCAATTTATGGGTTAGCAAAAATGCCGATAACATAAAGAAAATTTCCAAAGCCAACGTCATTAAAGGTGCTAAGATAAAAGCTTGACTGTTTAAGAATTCCTGCCATTGAACATGAGGATAAGATGGAACAAATGCACCAAAAATTGTTACCAAATGACAAGAGATAATTAAAAGATTGGCAATAGCTCGTAGTCCATCGATTGGATCAAAATAACCTTTGGTAAAATCGTCGCGACTGAATAGTGATAAAAAATCTCGTTGAATTTGCCAATATAACATTGATAATTTGCAGTTCTATACACAAAACGTTAGTGATTGTATTGGAGAATGAATACTATTCTTTTTTGAGAGACTGTATGGTATCAGAGCTATGGGGTGATAATTTACTGCTATTATGTTGTTCTGAAAATACAAGTATGTTTTATTTGAATAATAGATCAATTATCAATAAGTTTCTCTCAGTAAGCTATGGCATCATTTTTAATTTGACATGGGAATTTACCATTATCAAACAGTTTCTTTACTACTTTAAAATATTGTGGCGCATATAAACCAATATAACGAATTTCCCTTAGCTAAACACATTGCTGCATGATCGAACCGAAAACGTCAAACGCATAAGGCTTGCATAATAGAAATTTTCATCAAGAAACCATTTCGAAAGTGCCTTGTATTACCATTTCAATACCATTTGCTTCTAAGCTTCTTAAATGCCTATCGCCGTTGTCACGAATGTAAATGGTCTCTAGATCGACTGAGTAGTTGACGATCGCTTTTTTCACTTCAGGTAAAAAAAGTAGATTTCTTGGAGCTCTTGTATGGCGCAAAGTTCTTCGATCGATTGAGTATTTGTAATATACAAAAAAGTATCAAGCTAATGTCATCAAGAACGGTCGCATTTAGGGACAAAATGAAAACGTTTTGAACATTTTTTGTTTAATTCGAAAGAGTAACTAGCCGTTTTTTTCAAGTAACAGTAGGGAAAAACTTGTTAGTATAGCCAGTTTGGGGTAAAATGTTTTTAATGTAAGAAAGATTTGTCTAAGAACGGAGGTTTTATAAAAAAAAATCTTTCTTCAACAGTCCATAATTTGGCTTTTGGAAAGGTTTCTCTCTGTGAACACTTTCACAGGCAGAGTAAAGTCACTACATCAAAGTTTTCATATTCTTAGTTTTCGATGAAAGAGGAATTGTGAAGGAAAATAAGTTTCTTTTTATTTTTCATCGCGGCAGTGTTAATCATTTTTTTTAAATAGGAGTATTGTATGATTCGCTTCCATACCAGAGCTGCTCTGAATTGTTCTCGCTGATTTTTATTTGCTGATCACATTTCTTCCGTTGATCAATGAAAGAAAATATCCAGAGAACTTATGATGATTGGTCAGAATGAAGGCAAAAAAGTCGGTATGATTTGTTAAAAACAAAAAAAAATATTCGAGAGAATTTAGCTTTGCTGAGAAATATCCCAACAAGATATCGAATTGCGAGCTCCGACAGATATTATCCATTGTAGATTCTATCCTTCATGAAAGAGCATAAAAGCATCAAACATCAAATAGCAAGCGGTTAAATAATCACTAATTACTTAGGAAAGAAACGTTAATTTCTTTCTTCTATTGTACATTTAGGAATCATGAAGAGGCTATATAAATTTCCAAAGTGGAAAATCATATCTGGATCTCTTAAACCGTCTATCATGCCATAAAATTTAACTTGATTTGCGGCTTGCAGATCAGGTCTAGCTAGAATTTTAGTCCTTTACTGTCGGCAGCCAGTTGAATATTTCGATAGGTCTCTGAATACATACGTTCTCAAAAAGAGAAATTCAATTTCGATTTTTCGATCACTAAAGGAAGATATTCTAATAGCAATAAGATAAGAAAAACTTTTCATTCCTTGCCAAGGTCGTTGTGAGGTATGTAAGTAAGGGTCGGTAACTATCAATTCTGGAAAATAGATCGTGTTTCCTAGTGGGACTAAACATGTTTACGAACACTCATTGCTGCATGTTCTCAATTTTTTTGATTTTTCGAAGCGAAAAAAGTACATACAATCGAAGAAAATATCCCTCCATAAAAGATGATATATATATATATAAGTTCGTCTTGAAAGAGGTGCACTGAAGAGAAAATAGAAGAGGAAGAATAAACTTTAACAAATGCATCATAGAAAAAGAACAGATAAGACATAACTTTGCACAGCATACAAGTTTGAGAGCAAATTCAACCATTCGGTGTTGTATCACAGTCAACGAATAACAATAAATGCAGCACTTCAACGAAGATCAATCTGATTTAATCAAAAAGTTTTTCCAATCCTTTTAAAATTCTACTATGCAAGAGAGATTTCAACGGCTCGACGAATAAAATGATCTTCAATAATGAAGTACATACAAATGATATTTATTCATTGGAACTAATAAATCTGGCTATTCTAGTACACTGAAAAAAAAACAGATTTATCATAAATCAGCACCAGTCTCCAAAAATTGACTGTTAAAAGTAACTACCCATGTCGTGAAAATCGTCGCGATTTTGGCGATTTCTCGAAAAATGAACGTAAAATCGCGATTAATTGAAATAGGCTGAAAAATCAACGAGAAAATCAGATTTTATTGTG